GGCAAGAGCCTAGTTCAGCCAAACGTCTTACATTCATGCGCAACTAGCATTTAATCATTTAATCATTGAAAATTTCACATTCATTTAGGTCAAGTGCGATAAAGTACACACTCGCCTAGAAAACTCATTTTTAAGCAATCATTGAAAGCACTTAACACATTATCAATCAATAATAACAAGCCAATAAGTCAAGGAAATATAACAAACAAGGAACACTCACCTAGTTAAGCAAAATAATGTCCAAAGTATCCTCCCGGATAACACTCTCAATCGCCAAGAAACCCTAATAATAGTCAAGAGAAAATATTATAGTTAAACCCTTCCAAAGTTTAAGTGAACCAAAGAAAATCCGAATAACTACTAGTACAAAGTATAAGTATAGTTTTGGAAGTGAAAAGAGTACATTTAAACCAAGGCTATGAGTAAAATATTTGTAAAACTTATGCTTGTTCGTAAAACTTTGAAATCTCCATTTAAGTCGAAGTGATAAAGAAAACGTACTCCGAGCAGTCATTATTTTATTTCTCAAGGGTATAAGTTCGGCCAAGTCCTTGCTTATATACCTCGGTAAAAGAAGATGCAAATATCCTAGATGGTTCAAGTGATATTCACTCTTAACCCTTACTCAAATTGCAAGTATAGTTTTCTTGTTCTCCAGCGTAAATTTGGGCAGTATGCCCTTAGTGTTTACCTAATTTTCCAGCCATTTTGGCTTCATTATTTTTTTCTCATTTAAACCCAAAGATACACACACAACAATCTAACTTCAATAGCCGTCCAATAGGCTCAAGACAATACAAGGACAAAAATCAACTAACAACAAGTGCGGAAATCAAATTTAACAAGAGACAGATTTGATAGAGTTTTACGTAACGGACACAACCGAAGCTACGCTTATCGGATTGGGGTACAACTTCTATCATTTCGAAGCTAAGATGAAGTCCTACAACTTTCATGAAGATCACTTGGTCAAATTTCCAGTGTAACCTAATCAAATTCCCAGTTCACAGAACCAGGTTCCAACTAATCGGCTAATTAACCGTACTACATTTAAATGCCCATATCTCAGGCTACCAAAGTCCCTTTAGGGCATTATTGGAGGCGTTGAGAAGCTAAGACAAAGATCTACAACTTCCATTAAGACCACTCAGTCCAGTTCTCACCCTAACTAGGTCAAATTTACCAAAACAAATCTAGATTTTCCAGTTCGAGATTCACTGTAGAAATCAACTAGCAGTCCTGCTTTATTCACTCATACCTCAGCACACACAACTCCAATTCAGGTAATTCTAAAGCCATTTGAAAGCTAAGATACAAGCTATAATTCTTAAGAAGACATCATCAATTAAATCAGTAGTAATCCTGGTCAAACTAACCAATTATAGAAGCTGATTAGCATGTTCGGGTAGAAACAGGGCAGCAGGGGTATTTCGGTCTTTTTATAGGCTACGTTGCTCCGATTGGGTCGAAATTTTTCAGGCAACTATAAAACATCATTATCTACAACTTTCATGTTTTAAGCTAAGGCAAATTAGGCCTCTATCATGATTAAACAAAAACGGGCAGAATGGTGTTTGTGAGAATTTAAACCTAGAATTAGAACTTTGTTACTAGAATTTCATGTTTGTTAGGTTTAAATCATCAAGACCTCCAACTAGCAACTTCATAACATCAATTAAAGGATATGTGATCATAATCAAAGCTGAAAATGAAACCCTAGCTAATCATCCCCCCAACTCCAACAAAACTCACTAATTAACCGTTGTAACTCAAAATTAAAAGCTTCTAGCCATATTTAACCAAAATTGGGAAAAAGAAAAGGGTGAAAAGCCATGATACCTTCCTAGGATGCTTGTAGGAAAAGACCACAACCATTCCTTCAAAATCTTGCCATACAACGCTCTAATCTTCCCTAAAGAGTAGTTTTTGTGAAGTGATTCACAAGATTTATGGTTAGAGTTTAAGATTAAGCAAGAAATTTAGTTGGCGAAGATGAAGTTTCTCTCCCCTTTTTCTCTCTCTATTTTCAGCCAAGGTGGTGAAGAAATGGAGAAGATTTGGTTAAATTCTTGTTTTATGATGGTTGATACAAATTAGTCAAAATTCCTTCCAATAAGGGCTTGACATGTGTCCTTTCTAGAGTTTTCTTTCTTCTTCCTTTGGCCCACCATGGTGACTCATGTATAAGATATTTTAAGGCTAATTAGTCAAAATAAAATGAGGAGATTAAAGAAATAAAGTAGGGTTTAATCGGTGCACTCACTCGGTAACGAACGGTACACGTCAGTTCTATCCGTTTTCCTTAAATTACACGTACTAGGGTTTTTTACTTCCTATTCACTAACTTTATATCATAGCTTCTAATCACATGTTATTTCTCACCTAAAAGTCACTCTTAAGCACCAAATTTGATCGTTACTCCAAATTTGATCCTTACACTGCAGATACACAAACAACCCTATTTCACTTTGATTTGAAATCGGAAAGGAAAACCCTAATTTCCTATGATCATTGGCATTTTTTTTTTCTAGGGTGATTGAGTAGTAAGATGGTATAGAATAATATTTTCCAAATAATTTTCAAATAAAAGGAAATTTTCAAGAAATATATAAGGAATTTGCAAGTCCTCACAACTGGGAAGGGATTTAAGTCCCTCCTTGGGTTGTATGTGAGGGTTCAAATCCCACCTGTAGTGAAAAAATCCAAGAGTGATGCCAAAGTACCCTTTTGATCTAGTCAGGTCTGTATGTCTGCTAGCCCCTAACACAGAGCCTTTTTATGCGCCCCCTCCCTTATAGACTATAATATAATAGGTTATATAATTATTATTGTTGCACAAATTTGCCGTGGTTAATATCGAGGTTGTCACACATAACCCTGAATCCTAGGTTGAGCTATGGATGTCCAAACCTGAGAGATTCATAACATCAGTTAATGGTAAATCTTCTTTAGTAGAGGGGCCAAAAATTGAACGAAAGTAGTTCCTTGTCTATTCATACTCTTTTCTAAACTTCTTGGAAAAATTTGGATTGCCTAAAAGCTTATGAAAAAAGTAAGAAATTCAACAAACAAAAACTACTAAAAAAACTACATATGCTAATAACTTATTGTAAAATCACAAGTTAAACTATAATGATAGAAAAGGAAAAAGCAAAGCTGTTTTGAAAACAATAAAGGCTTACAACAAATAATGAAAAAAATGGTACTTCCCTTGCTTTTTTGACACCTAATTAACCATGATAGGCGTAATTTGATAAAAGAGAAATTCAATGCTTTATAGCTTTTTGGGGCCAAGTTCAAAAAGTCCCAATTCTTCACAACCCTATATATTGGCAAAAAACTAAAATTAATAAAAGCTCACAAAAAATAACAAAAAAAATTACTGCTCTCTTGCTTGTTCAGCAACAAATCAATCATGATAAGTGTAATTTGGTAAATAAAAAATTCATTGCTTTATAGCTTTTCAAGGTCAATTTCATAAAAAATCAAATATTTAAAACCCAGAACATTTCCCCAAACCCCAAATTGTATACATTTAATTGCAATTCTTCTACATTAGAACCTTTACCTCAACTATAGCAATTTAACACACAAGCTAATGTTTAATTCTTCCTCCTGCGATAAAATGATGCTACCAAAAACCTGCCATCCATGCTAACCTGGAGTTTGGGATAGTATATCTTCTTTGCAGACCCAATTTTCATTCACGTGCGATTAGGTTGACATACGGTTAGGTCTGTATATAAACAACGATGAAATATAATTTTTGCAGTTGAATATTTGTAGGAAAATGGCTGTTTTGGAAGCAAAAGTGTATTTCTATTAAGACATGGGCATGCAAGGGTATTTATGGGTTATTACACAAGGTTTTTGCTGACATCAGTCGAAGTCTTTTGATGCCAGGGGGGTTTTCGACAAACATTTTGTGATTTGAAGGGTTAGACTGTTATTTAGCAGTACCTTAGGGTTCATTTAGTAATTTGATTGAACCTCAGGGCAATAAATGGAATTAATCTGAATTTAAAAATAATCCAAACCAAAACACCTGTCAAATCTCACCTTGTATGATAAGGCCGCTATTTTTGAACCTGGATCCAACAGTCCTGATAAATTCCTGAAGATTCCAAATATTTTTCCCCAAAATCCTCTTTTCTCAATCTAGGTTTGTTTTGTCTCTCCGTCGAAGTCACACAATCCACAAACGCACACATCGAATCAATTGATTCTTGAATTGTTCATAGCACCTATGCAACCGCCAAATTCTCTTCTTCCAATCGAACTAGGGTTTCTATAATCTTTAACTAGGGATTTAGGATTTTCTCATCACTGGTCTCTATTTTTTTTTCGTTTCTGGGATATTAATTTGTTAAATTTAAGCTAAAAAAATTGTCATATTTAAGGTTCTACTATGGTAATCTCTCTTCTATTTCGAATTTCATCTGCTTCTTCGGTATCACTGGTGATAATGAATCTTAGAGCTTTTGGCCCCGGTTTGAATCCCTTTGCCCCTTACAATTTGGCCAATCATTCCTCTCGCTAAACATCCCTCTTTTTTTTTTTTTTATTGGTTTTCTTGATTTTTGTCTCTCTCGCAAATCATGTAACAGAAGTTGTCAAAAGAAGCTGGAAAAGATTTGGAAAAGAAGATTTTTCAAATATCTTGTGATTTGGGGATTATATCTGCTGAAGTATTTGGTGGGTTTTTGTTAAAACCCCAAGATAAGATCAAATCTTTGCCTGGAAATTGTTTGTGCGTTTGGTTGATTTCCGCGAGTGATGTGATTGAGGTATTTCTTTGAATTTTAAAATTTCTGGGCTTGTGTTTAGCTTGGAAAATAGAAGCTTCCCTCCTGTCTAGAAACTTTTAGGTTCTATCCCTGAATTTGAGGGTTTTTGGGCTAAGTTTTTCTCTTTACTATTGAATCCGGCAAGAAGAAGAAGAAAACTTTGATCTTCGTGATTGTCCTAGATTTGCTTGTTTGGTGGTGACGAACGTCTGATTTGGAGAAAGAGTGTTGAATTTGGGTCGTGGTAGTGTTGGTGGTAAAATTTGTAGGATTTAGTGGAATACTTGTATGTATAGTGGTATTCCAATTGAAAACTGTTTTGTAGAGGAAACGGCAAAGGAAGTAATGCCACAGGAGCAGGAGGGTTCGATCAGGCGGAGGAGACATTTGGATAGGTCTGCAGGGGATACAGATGATCGAGGTTGGACTCCGCTTCATATTTGTGCAAGGAAAGGCGATCTCAAGGAGGTATGCTTTCAAGTATCCGACAACCTAGCTTGAGTTTAATGGCTCTTCTTTGTGACAATTTTGAGCTATTTTTCACTGTTTGCTTGATTTCTTTGCTAATTTGTTATGCAACCATTTATGTAAACGGATCTTGTACACAGTTGGCTCCAGGTAGGTGTTGAGCTATATTTCACTAAAATTGAAGAGAGACACTTTATGTGTTAGTTAATTTGAGTATTGATTTTCTTGTCAATAGAAAGTGTGACTAATTAGTGCATGTGCTGCTGTTTAGCTGACAGTCTTATTTACATAAGAGCAGAACCGTCTGTTCTTTTTTTATGAAAATTAGAATTCGTTTGGAGAATTCTTCATAATTGAAGAAGGAATTCTTCATTAGAGCACAACTGTTTGTTCTTCATAATTGGTTTTGGGTTTGATCACAATACTTTATTTTGACCTTGGGAACCTTTTTGTGTCACATTTTAGAACTTCCATCTAATTTCAATTGCCGATAATGCTTCCCCTACCGGACTTAGGGTGCTTTCACAGTTTTTAGACTCTACAGGAGGGTCTACAGAAAGGCCTCCCAACTTTACGGCAGTAATGAACCCAAAGACTGTCAACTTTGCAGCAGAAATGGATTGTAGTGTTCCTATGATCCCTTCTGCAGTACAAAAGTGAAATCTATTTGTTTTGTTTGGTCCCAAAAACATTTTTTTTTAGTGACAGCAGATAATATTTAGAGTTGAACACATGGGTTGCATATAATTTACTCCTTGGATAAATATTTGAGGAAGTCTCACTTGATGGATGCAGGGAAGTTTAGGTGACTTAATTGGTTAGTTTTGTAGGTGAACTGCTTTAGTAAAATCTAGCTTTTTTTGCGTTGCCATTTTTGTGTAGCATGTTTGAAGGCTTATTTCCAAGCATAGAATTGACAGAAAGCACTGGGCTTGTGATTCTGCGGAGGCTTCTGAAGCTCTCCAAGAAACAAGCCAGCACTATTATTTATCCAAACTTGTTAAAACGGGTAGAAACAGATGTTCAAATTCTTCTCCTAACCACCAGCGTTGAATCTTAAAAACAGTGTTCTTTTTTTTTGGTAAAGTTCCGTAGTGTTGTCCTAGGTGTAGCATAGCCAGGAAGTTGTTTTGAAGTTAAGGTTGAGGAGTAGTGCACAACTAGCAAGTTGTTTTTCATCCCTTTGAATGATCATGCACCTCATTGAACTTGACAACTTTTGTTCTTTGCAAGCAAGCTAGAAACAAGATTTTCCAGTTTAAGGCCAATCCAGTGTTGCGCAAAATGTAAACTCATTGCACGAATCTTTTCTGTTTAGTTAGAAAGAAACATACATTCTATCAGTGTGGTGCGTAAAATAGTTGAGAGCTACAAATTTGTGAAGTCTTGATTCTAAAACCTTTTTAGAGATTTGGCTGCATTTTTTAGGTGACAAATATCTTCAGTATTGTAAATCTAAGTTATCTTGCAGAGATGCCCTTAAGAGACATGAATTTCAGCTAAGGTTAATGTTCAGATTTGGCTGCATTTTTTTGGTGACAAATATCTTCAGTATTGTAAATCTAAGTTATCTTGCAGCGATGCCCTTAAGAGACATGAATTTCAGCTAAGGTTAATGTTCAAATTACACAAAATGCCCTTGACTGGGAATGGGGATCTTTATGGAAAAGGAATGGAGGTTGATTATAAGAAGATAAATAACCTTAAAGATGAGAAAGTCTCAGTTTTCAGTTTACATTTGATGCCGTATGTTGCTTGTCTCCTTTCAAATGTCCTCCTACATAGTCCCATCTATATTTTAATAACTGTGATCGCGGACAATGCAATTTTTGTTAGTAAGATATTTTGTATTCTGTTTTTGATGATAAATACGTACTTTAACTAAGTCTGAAGTTGTTTAAGAATCGTAGATCCTCTGTGTGGAAGTTTCATGAATTGGAAAAGAAATTTCATATAAATTAAACACCCAGATTTATTTAACCAATATACTATCTAGTTCGATCATTATATAGTCTCGTCATGATTTCATTTGTAGCTTCTTTTTTTTTTTGAGTAAAAACAAAAAAGCCCCTTGTGGTATGCCTAATACACAGAAAATCCCTTCATGGTTTCAAAACATACAAAACGATACCTTATGTTTTGAACTAAATTATTAACTAACAGAATTCGTTGAACTTAACGGAAAATTTAACAGAATATGGTAAACTTAACGGAATCTGGTAAGTTTAACAGCTGAGACCGTCATTTTTGTTAAGTTTAACAAATTCTGTTAGTTTACAATTTAGTTCAAAATATGAGGTGTCGTTTTGCATGTTTTGAAACCATAAGGGGTTTTTCTATGTATTAGATATACCACGGGAGGTTTTTTCGTTTTTAACCCTTTATTTTTAATATTATTTCCCTTCTTGTGCTTTCTTTTTCCCCCTATCATGATAATTCTTCAGCTGCATCTTCTACTCTCTAACTGTAGTCAGCATGATAACCATGGAAGTGAAAAGACGGAAAAAAAGGAAAAAACCTCTTGCCATTATCACCATTTAGTCCTATCATCTTGTGTTCTTGCCTAGTTAGAGGCCTAATATAGAGTTGAACATGCTTTATTTGTCTCTCTTTTTCTCCCTAAGTTTTAATTTTTAATGCTCTACAATAGAGGTTACTTGCTTCTAATTCTCTCAACAATATGATATGCTACATGCCCTTGCTTTGTTCTGCTGGAAATATATTTTCTTGGTTAAGAGTTCAGAAGCCTTACCCAGATTTCTCTAGGACCTGAAGGACATGGTTCATGTACAGGAATATAGACTGTTGGTTAAACCATAACTGTCTTTGTACTCCATTTCACAAATTTGGCAATTTGTAACATGAATTTTTTATTTTAACTGTTTGCATGATCAAGTGCATCACTGCATTTCAAGCTTCAGGAAACTATAATTTCTGACCAAAGGCTTACTGCAAATGTGGCTGTGATATTTATAGAAAGTTAATTTGTATCATAGTATACCAAACTAGGAGTTGCAAGGGTAGCTTAATGCACTAATAAGGCGCTAAGTGTTAACTGTTCCATCTGTAAGCATTGCAAGGGTAGCTTAATGCACTAATTTTGAAGATGTAAATTTGTTTGGCTTTGGTAACTCATATTTTCCCATGTTGTCCTATATGCCAAAGTTATCAGTTGAATCATGTTTCAGACTCACTATGTTGCTTATGAGTGAGCACATTTTGCGGCTTCCACTTTCTGATATCATCATTGGTGTTCTCATTCTTTTCTTTCTTTGTTAAAACTGGCATGTTGGTACATACTATGTTTAACCATTTTTTCATTGTCAGATTACTGGTGCAATGTTTATCATTCTTCCATAGTTGAGATTTTAGTTGCATAACTTAGCTGTTTTTGGATCTTGTATTTTCTATAACTGAGTCATTTTTCTTCTGGAAGGTGAAACGACTTCTCAAGGAAGGAATGGATGTAAATGTGGCTGCACGGGGGCCAAAATCACATGGTGTTACCCCTCTCCATCTTGCAGCCAAGGGTGGCCATCTCAAAGTGATGGATGAATTGCTTGACCAAGGTGCTGACATTGATGCACGCACTAAGGGTGCCTGTGGCTGTAAGTATTTGTATATATGGGTTATAAGTGATTTTTTCGACACTATTTATATAGTTTAGCATGTTGGAATTCTTTTTATTCCTTGGTCCAGGGACCCCACTGCACAATGCGGCTAAAGAAAGAAAGAAAAAAGCAATCAGATTCCTGGTAGAAAATGGGGCATTTTTGCCCGATGATATTAATGACACGAGGTTCAATCCGCCGCTTCACTATTGCCCTAGTCTTGAATGGGCTTACGAGGAGATGAGACGTCTCCAACAAGACAACTCCACATCTAGCGAGATAACCTCTTCCAGCTCTGAAAACTGAGCCAGACTCGCTCTACTGCCATATATTGCAAGGCTTCGTCTATGAAATATTATCTACTACTTTTCCTAGTAAAAATGCACTGTGATTTGGAGTAAAATGCACTCTGCCATAATTTGTTCTGTTTCCTGTACCGTGTAATCCATCTTCCATACCCTGCTTTGGTGCTACATGCATGCAAGTGGTTGTTGGTGAAGATTTTTTATGAAATGGCTTTTTAAGACTCGTGATCTCTTTATAATGGTTCTTTTATGTCCTTTGCGAAGACGTGTCAAAACTTGAATGTGATGTCCTGCATCGCTTGATGCAATGTCTCCGATAGTGGCCCATTGCGGTTAGCATGCGGCATCATAGGGTTTATGCAGCATCGTGGTTGTTAAACTCCCGAAGCTCAGATGCTCCAATGCATCCAATAGTTTTCTGTAGATGTGGATACGGGTCGAATATTCGTTTCAAACGTGATTTGGCTGATTCGATCTTAACTTATTGGATCATTATTTTTTCGACTCGAATTCGTTCTGCTTGTCATCCTCTGGTACCCAAAAAAAAGGGGCGGGTCATAGGTTACCCGCCTCTATAATTCATGTTTACTAATGTCCATTTTTCAAGAACATCAAATATCACCTTCCAATTAATTACTAAACCAGAATAAGAAAACATAGAGAATAAGTGCCAAATTCAGCTTCGACATTAACAGAAAATAGAAAAGGAAGTGCCAGCCAAACCAACTTCAGCAACTCTCAGTTCTAGGAACAAATTCCCCCAACCTAACAACTTTCACAAGCCTACTAAAATTCAAGAAATCATAGGCTAAAAGAGATGCTACATGCTGATACGAAAAACTCCAAAAGTACACACCAATAAACTTTAATTATTTAAGAAGCATCAGCAAAGTCAATAAGTGCGAGTTTTGCACTTTCCAACTCCACCTTTCTGTCACCTAGCAAAGATGCTATTCCCTACCCCCTCCTTATTTTTTTAATTTAGTCCATTAAAAAATCCATATCTCCTGTCAAGAATCTGGGCATCACAAATTCACCGAAAAAACTAGGGTTCACTTACGAGGTTGAGAGTTTGAATTGAAGGTCCGGCGTTCTGCAGCTTCTGCTTAAGGGCTTGCTTTGAGGGGCACCATCAAATCATAAATGGGTTGTGATTCTCTCATAATTCCAAGACAATCGTATATTTGTAGCACAAAGTGGTGAAAATTGAAGGAAAATTTAGAATTGTTGTGGTGAAAATTAAAGAGAATGAGAGGAGATATTCTGCTGAAGACTGAAGATAGAGAAAAACTTGGAAAGTGAAAAACTGAATGTCGATAAAATTTAGGCCTTTAGGATTAATAACTTAATGAAATTATAAAATTGCCCATATATTTGTTAATATTTATATAATATACCCTCCGGTCAGGTGGCCGCAGGTTTTTATTTTTGTAACCTGTATCCGTATCCGAATTTTACGGGTTCCCAGCCCTTATCTACTCTGCTAATAGAAACCCGATCGGATATCCTAATTTTTGGTGCGGAATGGATCGGATTGCTCGGATTTTCGAGTTGACAGGTTTTTTTGCCAAACCCTAGTTTTTTGTTGCAGGTACCATGCGGCATTCTGGTGGTTGTTCCCAAAATCCGATCGTTGTGGGATTAGTAGTGTTTGTAAAATTACAATTAAATCACTAGAAATTTCTGTTTCTAAATCCGTATTATATAAATTAAGAGGTATCTTAATAATATGAAACGTATAATTAAGAGGTATCTTAATAAATCTTTTGCAAAACGTATAATTAAAATCCTGAGTGACTTGTATTTTCCTAGCTATTATATAAAGAGCACTCTTATGTTAACAATTGAGACATTTTCTTCTGACTTTTTTCAGGACATTTATGTAGATTCGTATGCAAAATTAAGGCCATTGAAGTAATTCACAAAACACTAGTTCTCCTTTTCCGCATTTGGCTTTTGTTAAAACATATAGCCACTTATCGTTTCAACGGTTTGTTCCTATAGTTGTACCATCTATTGTTTATAGTTGTACCAAATGGTCCAAATTATGTCACACCTAATTTAAATGTGTGCTAAATTTGGTTGCACTAAGCTTAAATTTTTTAAAACTTGGACCGAACAATGCATATACTAGGCTTATGTTTGTGTATATATATCTAATTTATCTATCTATTACTATATAATATAATCGTCCTTTTTCCCTTTTCTATGATGTCTAATATACTCTTTGTGACAGCCCCACCTTCCCCTAAGGCGAACCAAAGGGGTTAGCGGACTGCCTGCCCAGCTCTCGCCAGGACTAACGGGTCAGTTTACGTCGATCTAATATGTTCCGGAACCTACCAACGCGCGCAACCGAGTCAAAATCACAAAATAAAAATAAAAATAAAGAAAAAAAAAAACACGCCGAGGATGAACAATGCCGGACACGTCAGAATCCGGAGTTCAACCATACATCAATCCAACATATACATACATTGAAATTCAACATTTACAACCAAATGGCATGCCACAAAAATCATTCATCATGAATATACATGTTCGGTTTGCCAATCAAAAGAAAATGAACCCAATACACATTAGGGTTTCATTCAAAGAGCTATTCAAAAGATACATTTACATGAGCTCAACTTGACAACCAACTAACACAATCTTTTCCAAAAGTGGTCATTTTCCTGTAAGGAAAACAAATGGAACGGAATGAGCTTAAGTCCAGTGAGTTACTACCACATAAGCAACAAAGAGCATATAACATGACCTTTCAATTAAAGTACACAATTAAGGAATGAAACAAAATGGTGAAAGGATACGAACGGCTCTCAAGAGCCCATTTCCACGCTTACAGTCTTGATCCAACCCCATTGACCCTCCGTCAATGTTAAGAGTACCAAACCGTAGACCTCACTTCACTTCCATTCCTTCCACCCAACATTCCCCAACCGGTCCCGCACTCCAATCAGTAGCTTTTGGTAATACTCGAGTATATCGGAACCAAGAGTCTCATTACTACAAGATTCCCCAGTACAGTCCTCGTGGCATGTCAATTTTCACGACCAAACCCTCGCCGGCTCGATTCAATTGACTACCAACGGGGTTGAGCTCAGTAATACAGTAAGGCCGTTGGATATTCGTGCAAACGACACCAAATCAGGTTTCCATGAAATGGAATTCAATAACTCATATATCAAGTTCAGTAATACAGTGAAACGGTAAACAATCAGTAATACTATCAAAAGGGGTGAGGGCGGTCAAGTACACCCTCACCTTAATCAATTCCAATATCCAAATAAGCCTTCAAGGCATCACAATCACATATAGCAAAGCCACATTGTAAGCATTCAAGTGAGTAGTGCACTCACCAATCAAGTAGGTGGTGTTTCATGCACCGCCGTCACCAGTACGTCGTGAACTACCGTCACGCCCTAGAACATGCAAACAAATACAATGAGACTCGATAACGAGTCATAAAACAATGCCAATCACAACCCCAATAGGGTTTCATATGCATATACAAGCATCATGAGTAACCAGAAATTCAAGAAATGGCATTAGCTTTGGCCCCGAATAAAAAACAGTTTTGTCCTTATTTTGCGGTAATGGCACCAATTTCACTACGATTATCGGATGAGGGTGTAAGACCCACCGTTTCGAAGGTAAGAACCTGGGCTACAACAATGTAGAAGGTCACTCAGTCAAATTCCTAGTACAAACAGGTCAAATATGCAAGATACTAAACCAGAACCATCAAAACAGGTTTACAAATTACACTATGCTGTAATTAGTACAACTCAGTCTGTACAGGTCCAAATTCAGAAATTCCAAAGGCATATGGTAGCTAAGACATCCAGCTACATTTCATCAGAAGACCACAACAACCAAATCCAAGGCAATTCCAGTCAAAACAGCCAATTACAGGCGCAGTTCTGCCATCCTGATGAACCCAGAACAGCAATAGTAATTTCGACATTTCTCACTCTACACTACTCCAATTGCCCTGAAATTTTACAGGCACCTCAAACACATCAATACCTACAACTTTCATGTTTTAATCAAAGGCCAATTCGGCCTCTAACAATATGATACAAAACCGGCCAGAAAAGGGGTTATGAAACCCTAACTTTTCACATTTCCTTCCAAATCCAAAATTGGTTGCAATTACCTATCATTCACACCTACTAGAGTCATTATAGGCCATTGCCAATCATCATACAAGGCCACAACATCATGATCAAATTAAACCAGAAAAATCATCACTAAATTAAAAACTTCACCAATTCATCTCAAACCAAGAAATAAACCACAAATTTCAGCACTTTAGCTACCACTAAGCACAATTTAAGCTTCATTAAGTGTAGGAGAAAGTTCAATAACCACTCACCTAGAAAACAAGAGAGGTAGAGTTGTTGGACACCTTAGCTTCTCCAAAAACTTCACCAAACTAACCACTAACACCAAATGGAGAGATTTTATGGAGTAGAAACAAGATCAAGCAAGTGTTTTGGAGGATTTGAGCTAGGTAGCTGCCAAGATTTTGAAGAGTTTTTCTTCCTTCTTTGCTAGAGAGGGCCGGCCACCAAGGAGGTAAGAAATGGTGATTTTTGTGGTAATTTTAAGATATTTAACCAATTGGTCAAAAGGTCAAAAAAATGAATAGTAAGTCATAAGTCATATCCAATATAATGGTGGCACTTGTCACCTCCATTAATGCAATCCTATCCTTCTTTTTCCTCTCACATCAATCAAATCTCACCCTTTACTTATCTCTTAACACCCGATAAATTTCCACCAGTATCCGGAATTTAACCTAATTGGCCGAATTTTTCCGAACTTTTCGCACTAGTGGGTCCCACGTCCATTATATATTCTTAATTTTTCAAAAACTATCCAATACTAAAAAAATCATCTAAAAACTATAATTACTCCTAAAATTCACCAGAAAAATTTTCCTAAGCCAGAAAATGCAGAAAATATGTCTTTAAAGGGGAAAAACCCTAGGAAACTTATTAGGGAATTTACGGGTTCTCACACTCTTTACTTACATAACTTGCCTATTCTATTATGGAAAAATCCTAAATGAGTAACTTTGATCAGACTTTGATATGATACAGCAGGACTCCTGCATAATTCGAACTACTTTGTCGTTAGTTGTTTGAGGACTTGCATGATTTAAACTACCTCTTCATTTGTTCCTTGAGGACTCGAGTTGTTTGAGGACTTGCATGA